ACCGACACACACACACAAAAACAACCATGTCCAATTCACACAGGGACCTTCCGTAGACAAACAACTTTTTGTGCACAAGCGGTTGCTAAGGCAAAGCAATTCGCTCCCGGCATCAGTCTGGTTGATGAAGAGGCCCTAAATTTAGGATGCTCGCATGCCACTCCTGTTTTCGCTTTGCGGTTTCTCTCCAAAGTAACCAAATCTTCCCTGCTGTCAACCTGAATACAGCGACTCCTCAACTTACAACAGTTCATTTACTGACCGTTCGAAGTTGCAACGGCCCTGAAAAAAAGGGACTTGCCAAGTTACAAGGGCATTTAAAAAAAAAAAAAGGACTTTTTCCCGCATTTAACAACCGTTGCGGCATCTCCAGGCTTACGTGATCAAAATCCCGATGCTTGGCAACAGACTCCTATTTATGACGGCTGCAGCGTCCCCGGCGGATCACAGGATCCCCCTTTTTTTGGGTGACCTTTTGACGAGCAAAGTCCATGGGGAAGCCAGATTCCCTTCACAATTGTGTTACTAATTTAACACCTGCAATGATTAAATTTAACAATGGGGGGGAGAGAAAGGTAAAACGGGACAAAATGCACTTGGCAAATGTCTCACTTAACGGTCGGACTCAATTGTGGTCCTTAAGCCGAGGTTAATAACAGTCTACGCCAGGGGTCTTCAAACGTGGCCCTTTTATGATTTGTGGACTTCAACTCCCAGAATTCCTCAGCCAGGCACGCTGGCTGAGGAATTCTGGGAGTTGAAGTCCACAAGTCCTAAAAGGGCCACGTTTGAAGACCCCTGGTCTACGCCAACATTTTTTTCAACCTTAGCTGCTTGAAGAGGGGTGGCCTTCAACTCCCAGAATTCCCCAGCCAGCTGTAGCTGTAGCTGGCTGGGGAATTCTGGGAGTTGAAGTCCACCCCTCTTCAAGCTGCCAAGGTTTGGAAAACCCAGGTCTACGCTGACTTTCCTTCCAGATGTTCGCTTGATATTTCATCCCACCCCGTTTTTAAGCTTTTTCTGCTTTGCCAGGGATTTTCCCAAACCAGATTTGCAGCTATAAAAAGCTGTCTTCATATTCGGCAGCCTTGTAATAAAGACTTAATTAAGACCTTAAAACCAGAATAACCTCCGTGGGGAGGATTAGAGAAGCACCTGTCCAGAAGTTCTGCAGGCATCGTTATAAGAAACAAAGAAACAAAAAAACAAAACAAAACCTGGCAATTTGGCAGCTTAAAAGAAATTAATTTGGTCTTGAGTCATGGAAAAAAAAAAGAACAAGTGGAGAAGATTCCTTAAGAAGCGTTTTGGCCGCTACAGGGACTTCTCGAGTTCATTTAGTGACGGTTCAATGTCACGGGGGAAGCCAGATTCACTTAACAACCAGGTTATTAAGTTATCAACTGGAGCGATTCATTTAACAACTGCGGCAAGAAAGATCGTCAAACGGGGGCAAAACTCACTTAATAAATGTCTCGCTTAGCAACCTAAATTTTGGGCTCCGTTGCGGTCCTAAGGCGAGGACTACCTGTATTCAAATCTCTGCCTAGTCAGTGGGAATTTTACTGGAGGTAAATCTGCACTGCAGGATTTCCAGATCTGCTGAAATATCCTTGATCACCGTTCCCATCATGCACAACGGCATTATCTGAGGACGATGGGAGAAATCTAGGCGGGAAGCCTGGCGTGCAAACGCTTGAAATAAACAATTAATAAAATAAACGCAGCCAGTAAAGACATTTTCATGCTGGGATCAATCCTCTTTTGTTTATAGGTTTTTTTTTCTCTTCTCACGCCGAGTTGGGGCTGAAACCATCTCTGCTATGCAGCAGATGTGCGAGAAGCTCTCGCAAAAGCCGTCTGTATATATATTTATACGTATTTTATTTTAAATGGAGAAATACACTTTTTCCAGCCGGCTGGTGAGAAAGCTAATAACCAGGCCGACTATAATTACGCCCAGTGCCTCATTTAGCCAGAAACAGGTGGAGTCCAAATCGGAGGATTGTTTTTAAGGGGGTGAAAAAAATAATAATATTGCGCCACCCTGTCGCACAGTTGTGGTTTTGGGATTCGAGACATTGCTCTAAAAGCGTTTGGGACCCCAAATTCTGCCTTTTCCCTGGGGTGGGAAGCCCTTTTTACCGAGTCTCCCAGCCCTAGAGAAATTTTATTGGCTTCTGTTTGAGGATCTTGGGGGAGAATCGAGAGTTTTGGTGTAAAATTGGCAACGGTTTTGCCTACCGAGATTGAACAGGTTATAAAATAACTTTTCTGCTGGCTGTGCCAGCTGCAGGGCCTTGAATTCGAACACTTTGAAGAGAAATGCATGTTCTGTCTTAAAATTGGCTTTTTTTTTTAAACCCACCTTATTTCATAATCTCCAATTTTAATATTTAATGCTTGGCACCTTGTTTTTAATGAGGCTCGCAGGCTGACCGGGATGAGCGGTACATCAATTTAAAAACCGGTGGGAGGAGAGGAGTGGATTTACGGTGAATTTTGCCCCGTTTTACAACATTTCTTTCCACCTTTGTTAATGTGTGGCTAAATTAGTGACGCAGTTGTTAAGCGAATCTGGCTTCCCTATTGACTTCAATTGTAAGAAGGTCGCAAAAGGGGATCGTGTGACGCCGCAACCGTCATAAATACGAGTCAGTGGCTAAGGGACTGAATTTTGATCACGTGACCGTGGAGTTGCTGCAACGGTTTGTAAGTGTGAAATACGGTCATAGGTCCCTATAATAATAAAGTTGGAAGGGACCTTGGAGGTCATCTATTCCAACCCCTTGCTCAGCCACTAAATGAAATGTCGTAAGCCGAGGACTACCTGTGCAGAAATATGTACAGAGAAGACTGGGTTGTCAGTCTCTAAACCTGTCACTCAAACAACCGGAGAAGTGCAGGCAATAGGGTTAAGTCCTGTGTTTATATAACCCGGGTCAGTGTGTCATGTGAACGCAGCCAACCCCGTCTCCTTACTTCAGCTCGTTCTAGTCAGAGTTTTTACACACTAAAATCAGGATTGGCAGTTCGCACAACTACTCAGCTCTGGAAGCAGACCAATTGGGGGTTCCTTGTCAATGTTAACACCTCTGCTGGGCCAAAACGTTTTGTTGAGTTCCTGTTTTTATACTGTAAGCCAGGCGGAGTTATTGGATAGGAGATGGGCAGCAAATAAATTTCATAAATAAGGAAGAAAAAGGGGAAAGTTAAAGCGTCCACAACTGGCTACTCAGAAACCTATATCAGTTCCAGATCTGAGCTTGCCTCAAATCAGGAATTAATGTTGTGTGGTCTGCAAAATCATAAAAGTTGCTGGGCAACTTTAAGATGGGTGGACTACAACTCCCAGAATTCCCCAGCCAGCTCTGCTGGCTGGGGAATTCTGGGAGTTGAAGTCCACCCATCTTAAAGTTGCCCAGCTCCAGAAAAACTGTTCCAGACTATCCTTCCACAACTTGAATCCTTCCAGTTGTTCAAGACTTCAACTCCCAGCATTCCCAGCGGGTTTTAACAATTGCACTCTCAGGTTTACAGGAAAAACACCCTGTAGCTCAAAAACTACAGAGTCCATCATTTGACACACTAAGGTCTGTCTCCCTGTTGCAATACTACCGTCTACAAGAAAGGCAGGATAATGGACCATCCATCCCAGGCTCTGTTCACACAATACAGTTAACCCAGGTCAATTGACAGCTACTTCCCAACATGCCTAGCTTGGATTCCTTCCAGCTTTACGGCCAGGCAAACCTTAGTGAGTTCATTATTTTATAGTCCCATTGTCCCAGAATCCTTTCGCAATGAGATGGGCAGCTAATAAATTTAATAAACAAACAAATAAATAAACAACAAATACAGGTAATCCTCAACTTACAACAGTTCACTGAACGACCGTTCTAAGTTGCAACAGCACTGAAAAAAGTGGCATCACCATTTTTCACACGTAACCACCATGCAGTTTGATCACAGTCACGCGATCCGAATTCGGACGCTTGGCCAGTGACTCCTATTTACGACGGCACGAAAGGTCGTAAAATGGGGCAAAAATCACCTTAACAAATGTCTCTCTCACTTAGCAATGGACGTTTTGGGCAGCTCCGTTGCAGGTGGGACATTGAGGACTGCCTGTAAATAAATTGTGTACGAATCCTGAAAACAGATGGATGGATGGATGGATGGATGGAGAGAGAGAGAGAGGGAGGGAGAGCGGCATAGAGGCAGATAGATGATAGATGCAGTAGCTAGAGATAGATAGATAGATAGATAGATAGATAGATAGAGAGAGAGAGAGAGAGAGAGAGAGAGAGAGAGAGAGAGGATGAGGGGGGGCGTAGAGGCAGATAGATGATAGATAGATGCAGTATCTAGAGTAGATAGATAGATAGATAGATAGATAGATAGATGGATGGATGGATGGATGGATGGATGGATGGATGGATGGATGGATGGATGGATGGATAGGATGGATAGGATGAGAGAGGGGGGGCATAGAGGCAGATAGATGATAGACAGATATAGATGCAGTAGCTAAAGATAGATAGATAGATAGATAGATAGATAGATAAGATAGATAAACCTTTGTCATTTTTTTACTGTGAGCACAACGGCACACATTAAAAATGAAATTTAGTTGCTCTCAAAGTGTACACCTACATAACAACACATTTAAACATACTATACAGAACATACCTACAGACCTACACCCTGACATATAAGTAGCATATAAATATTAATCACTATCCATCTTGAATACATAACGGGCGGAGGAAGCTTGAGAGTTCACAAGGTTGATACCGTACGGAACAAAGCGGTGACTGAATCTAGATGTTCTGCTTCGGATACCACCGAGCTGAAACCCTGGACCTTGATTCAGCCCGGCCCAGATTGTTTTGTGTGTGTGTGTGTGTGTGTGTGTTTGTTTTTCCCTTTCCCCTCCTCCCCGCCGCTCGACCCATTGCGCCGCCGGAGCCACTGAGGCCGGGCGCGCCGCCACTCACCGCCGCCAGGTGTCGCCTTCGCGCCGCCCTCGACGGTTTCAGCAGCCCAGGCCGCTCGTGGAGCCGATGCGGTCGAGCTTGAGGCCGAAGCAGCCTTCGCCCACCGCTTTCTTGCCCAGCCCCTTCAGACGACGCGCTCCTCCGCCTCCGCCGCCGCCGCCGCCGCCGGCTGCTACGTGGTGGTGGTGGTGGTGGTGGTCGGGTTGCACCATCCGGCCCCACTTTTGCCGCTCCGGCTTGCCGTCGGTGCGCAAGTCTCGCATCGGCCGCGACGCCGCCGAGGTCGCCGACGCCCCTTTGCTCTTCGGCAGCCTCTGGGGTGCAGCGGGGCCCGACGCCGCTTCTGGCCCCAGGCTCAGCTCCTCTCGGAAGGCCGTCGTGCCGCCCGCCGGACTCTGCAAGGCAACGGCAGGCATGCAGCAGAGCCGCCTCCCCCCCCCCGACGGCAGCCCGATGCCGGGGACGAGGGACGCCCGTTCCCCGAAGGCTGGATCGCGAGGGGGGGAGGGAAGCGTGGAGGAAAAGGGACGGGGGGGGTGTTTGCAGGAAAACGGATCAGACGGGGCGGGTGCGGGGGAAAAAAAAGGGGGGGTGTCCCGCCGTCCGTTCCCACCACCCCGCGGCCCCTTCGCTCCATCCGGGCGCCCCCCGGCTGCAATGCCCCGCTTAAGAGGAGCTGATGGGAACTGTAGTCCCCTCTGCGGGATCCCTCCCCCCCCCTGCGAGCCTAACCCGACGTCGCCATCGCCCGACCCGCCAAGCGCCCTCCCGTCTCCCCCCCCGCCCCCAGACGGAGCCAAAGCAGGCCCGGGGCCCCGTCGAGGAAAGCCCAGGCGAGCCGGCGGAGCCCGCCGACGACTCACCTCGTGGGGCTGCACCCCCACCGGCGGGACCTTAGGACGCGGCGGCCCCTGGGGCACCCCCACCGGCGGGATCTCGGAACGCGGGCTCCCCTGCGCCCACTGCTGCACCAAGAGCGGCGGTATGTGATGAGGCGGCCGGACCCCCGGCATCCACTGCTGCACCGAGAGCGGCGATATCGGCGGCGGCCGCCCCGGCTTCGACTGGTGCACCGGCTTCCCGTCGAGCGAGAGCGCCAGCAGGGCCAGGAGCAGCAGCCCGCTGGCCGCCAGGCGGGAGACGAACATCTCGGGCTGCGCAGGCGCCGGCAGAGAGGGTGGGCGAGAGCGAGCGAGCGAGCGAGAGCGAGAGAGAGAAAGAGAGAGAATCCTCGACGGCGCGGACCGCTGAGCCGAACGGAGCCGAGTCGAGCCGGGCGCTTTGGCCGCAAGAGCGTCTCGTCAAGCCGCGCTTGTCTGCTTGGCCAGATTCGCTCGCAGCGCCGGCATCGCTTTCCGCGCCTTATATAAGCAACCTGCAGGTGACGCACCGACGGCATCCTCCGCCCCGGCCGGCGGGGAGGGGGGGGNCCCTCCCTCCCTCCCTCCCTCCCTCCCTCCCTCCCTCTCTTTCTTTCTTTCTTTCTTTCTTTCTTTCTTTCTTTCTTTCTTTCTTTCTTTCTTTCCCTAATGTCTCAAATTGCAGGGGTGGGGTGGGGGATACTTAAAAATTGGATTAAATTCCCATTGACCCAAGGGAGGTGGTTCTCCCCAATTGTTGGTTGGGAAATTCCCAGTGTGTCCCCCCCCAGGGATCAGTAATTAAGGGGGGGTGGAATCTTAATCAAGATATCATAGGATTGTTCATTTCCCCCCTCCCCAACCCTTTTTGTCTTCAGGGGATCCAAGGAGCCAGAAAGGAAGATGGTGAGATCCTAAAGAAAGGACCTCAAGCTGTTTCCAGGGATTCACACACACACACACACACACAGGTACGCACAAACCTTGCAGACCCCACACTGCAAAATCCAGAGACCCAGAGGATCCTGACTGCCCTAGAAATTGGGAGGGGGGAAGCAATGGCAGACCACCACCCCCCCTCTCTCAAGACTCAGGACACCCAAATCGTCTCCAAGATCGGCTGCTGTGATTCTCACAAGTTGAGGCTCAAGCGGTTGTGGGAAGCCAGCTACCGTCTGCGGGTCATCAAATGAGTGAGAACAATCAACCAGGGGAACAGGAGTTGCCTCCAGAAATTGTGGGAGCTTCATCACTGGAAGCTTTCAAGAAGAGACTCGACTGCCATCTGTCAGAAATGGTGTAGGCCGGGTCTCCTGCTTGGGCGGGGGGGGGGGGGGTTGGACTAGATGACCTTCAAGGTCCCTTCCAACTGTGTTATCCTGAAATGATGATGGAGACACTTTGGTTCTTGATGTACTCCTCCCTTCGGGGTTAACTACTAGCTTGAACACGCCAATAACCAAGGTGAGGCTTAAACCAGCTTTAGCGTTGCCTTCTGTGTAAAGACAAAAACCGGGTTTAACCTGACCTGGCTTGGTTAAACTTGTCGTATGAGTGCAGCCACAGGGGGAACTTTCCTGTTTATTTATTTATTAAATGTATTTGTCACCCTTCTCCTTTCAAACTGACTCTGTGCAGTTTACAGTTTACAGGAGTTTATGGTCTCTCTGAATGTAGCTGTGGTTTGTTAAATCCTGGCTAGTGAGCGCGCGTGTGTGTGTATGCTTGCATTTAGCAAAGTTTTCTCCCATAGCCCTTGGCTCGCTTCAACCTTTCGCTCTCCCGGGATAATTTTAGCCAGGTGAAGGCCCCAGGCTAGGAATCGGGAGATGGTGAGTTCTAGTCCTGTCTTAGCAATGAAAGCCGGCTGGGGGNCTTCCTTCCTTCCTTCCTTTCTTTCTTTCTTTCTTTCTTTCTTTCTTTCTTTCTTTCTTTCTTTCTTTCAATTTATTTCTTTTTAAATCTTCCTGCCCTCTTTCTTTCTTTCTTTCTTTCTTTCTTTTAAATCTTTCTGCCCTCTTTCTTTCTTTCTTTCTTTCTTTCTTTCTTTCTTTCTTTCTTTCTTTCTTTCTTTCTTCCTTCCTTCCTTCCTTCCTTCCTTCCTTCCTTCCTTCCTTCCTTTCTTTCTTTTCCTAATGTCTCAAATTCCAGGGATGGGGTGGGGGATACTTAAAAATTGGATTAAATTCCCATTGACCCAAGGGAGGTTGTTCTCCCCAATTGTTGGTTGGGAAATTCCCAATGTGTCCCCCCCCAGGGATCAGTAATTAAAGGGGGGGGTGGAATCTTAATCAAGGTATCATAGGATTGCTCATTTCCCCCCTCCCCAACCCTTTTTGTCTTCAGGGGCTCCAAGGAGCCAGAAAGGAAGATGGTGAGATCCTAAAGAAAGGACCTCAAGCTGTTTCCAGGGATTCACACACACACACACACACAGGTACGCACAAACATTGCAGACCCCACACTGCAAAATCCAGAGACCCAGAGGATCCTGACTGCCCTAGAAATTGGGAGGGGGGAAGCAATGGCAGACCACCACCCCCCTCTCCCAAGACTCAGGACACCCAAATCGTCTCCAAGATCGGCTGCTGTGATTCTCACAAGTTGAGGCTCAAGCGGTTGTGGGAAGCCACTGCGGGTCATCAAATGAGTGAGAACAATCAACCAGGGGAACAGGAGTTGCCTCCAGAAATTGTGGGAGCTTCATCACTGGAAGCTTTCAAGAAGAGACTCGACTGCCATCTGTCAGAAATGGTTTAGGCCGGGTCTCCTGCTTGGGCAGGGGGGTGGGGTTGGACTAGATGACCTCCAAGGTCCCTTCCAACTGTGTTATCCTGAAATGATGAAGGAGACACTTTGACTGATTCTTGATGTACTCCCCCCCCCCTTTGGGGTTAACTACTAGCTTGAACACGCCAATAACCAAGGTGAGGCTTAAACCAGCTTTAGCGTTGTCTTTTGTGTAAAGGCAAACACCGGGTTTAACCTGACCTGGCTTGGTTAAACTTGTTGTATGAGTGCAGCCACAGGGGAAACTTTCCTGTTTATTTATTTATTAAATGTATTTGTCACCCTTCTCCTTTCAAACTGACTCTGCAGTTTACAGTTTACAGGAGTCTATGGTCTCTCTGAATGCAGCTGTGGTTTGTTAAATCCTGGCTAGTGAGCGCGCGTGTGTGTGTATGCTTGCATTTAGCAAAGTTTTCTCCCATAGCCCTTGGCTCGCTTCAACCTTTCGCTCTCCCGGGATAATTTTAGCCAGGTGAAGGCCCCAGGCTAGGAATCGGGAGATGGTGAGTTCTAGTCCTGTCTTAGCAATGAAAGCCGGCTGGGGG